GGTGCCCGGGCTGTATCATCCCCCTCCTGAAGAGCCTGGACAGTGGGGACGCTGCACGCAGGCTACGGTATGAGACGAGAGTGCCAGCACGTGCTCAGCTCCCATCCTTGGACTCTCCCAAGCCAGGCCATCCTTGGACTTGCATCCCTTGGAGCCCCATGCCAGGTTCCTAGGGAGTGGCTGGAACAGGGACACAGCAGGACACCTGGTACCTGCGATCAATGCGCCAATGCCCACCACTCCTCAAAAGATCTGAGATCAGAGACATCGCAGCTCCACAGAACGTCCCTGGGGATGGCCTGCCCTGCCCCGGGGCCCAGAGAATGATCCAGGTGAGAGCCAGCATGAGGAGCCACAGAGCCAACTGCAGTCGGAGTGTGGAAGAGTTCCAGATGTAGCTCTGCCCCTGACTTGCTGGGTGACTCGCCAGGCCTGTTTTCTCTTCTGTAAAATGGGAGATGGCAGGATAAAGCACCACCCAGGAGGAAGGGACTGCGAGTCAGGGCCGTCTTCTCTGCAAGGCGCCCCTTTGGGTGCCGACGGAGCCTGGCTCTCTGCCGTTGCTAATTACAAATTACGAATCCTGCCTGCTTTCCCCCTCCCACCTGACTCAGAAGGTCCACAGGCTGCGGCCTCCCTTCTGAGTCCAGGCCTGCCCAGTCAACTTAATTTGATGGAGGGAGGACCGGGCCACCTCAGCCTACAGGCCCTCGGATGACGGTCCTCCTTGCCTGAGTCAGAGCTCGGCTTCCCAGGGCTGGCCGAGGGAGCCGGGCAGCCTCCCAAGCTCTACGGGCTGGAATGCCCTTCCTCCTAGGACCTGGCGCTGCCCCCTCCCACACCTGCACAGACCCCAAAAGTTGCTAGGAACGAACTCCAGCCCCAGAAGCCGACTCCCTGCCCCATTGAGGCACACCTCTACTCTCACACAGATACATGGCTTTACTCTGCACATCCACCCTGGCCAGGCAGCTTGGGCTCATCTACACCTGGGGATGGCACAGGTGACATACAAAACCTTCAGAAGACTGTCAAGACCTCGGGGCCCTTTAAAGCAGGACACCTTAGTGGCTCCTCTAAGGGTCTAACAGCCCTGTCTGCAGAAGGGCTGAAGCCCTGTGCACAGAGCCTTGTGACACCCCTGCTGCTGTTCTCAACCTCCAGGGGACACACCTGGGCAGTGGAGGGGAGAGGGTCTTCAGCACTGCAGGTGATGGCGCTAGGACAAGGCGGGGACGAGGGGTGGCTGGGGAGAGGGCCTGGGTTAACAGCCCCTTGAAGACCCTCCCAAGGGTAGGAAGAGGTGTGCCTCAACGGAGCAGTCCCTGGGCCTGGAGGTGTTCAGATCCACACTGTCAAATGCTCTATGCCCACAACGCTCTCTGGGTCAAATACTGATGGAAACGCTGGGTTGAAGAAAGGTTGCATGCTGCAGGCCTGCTCAGAGCCTTCGCTGGGGGCATTGTGTTTCTCCAAGGGAAGGATGGTCTTCTGCTTTCCAAACATATTTGACCCAAAGCCCTTCCCCCAACCTCCATAAGCCATCACTGGACTACAGGGCCACATCCGTCTCCCCCTGGAGGAAGAGGGTAAGATAACGGCTGCCCTGGGACTCTGACCTGGAGCAGGACAGCCCTATCTCCTCTTGAGGGAGCACAGGCACAACCCAGGAGGGGTTCTGGGGTTCTCTCAGAGGCCCAAGAGCTAATGCTCGACCAAGAGGGGTACCTCTCCCTTTCTGGAGGTGGAGTCCCACCGCCCCCACGCTGCTGTGAATTTAAATTCCAAGCTAAACTCGGCAGGGAAGACCCCTACCCCAAGAACAGCCTTCCTTGGGTACCTACAGGGACAGAAGAGGGGCTCAGCCAAGAGCCCCAGGAGTTTCTCTCCAAAGACACAGAGTTGTCGCCACGGATCAGGGGTGAAACTGAAGCTCCCAGGGCCCATACACTAGACCGAGGCCTTTGCAGAAACGGCGCAAAGTGTCTGTGCCTGCTCTGGCCTGGCACCCTTACCACATGCGGACAAGCTGAATAGCCCCCACCAGCATCCAAGACACCTCGTGGTGCTCGCTCCTGCCCTTGCCCACGAACTCTGCATCTCCCTCTGCTCCCAGGGCCAGTGTTCCACTCAGAACCCTTGGCTTATCTTCAGCTTCCAGAGCTGAGGTTCCAGGGGCACAATGGGCTTCTGTGGCCCCATGTCCTCAACCCCCCCGCCCAAATCCCAGCTGCATTCATGGTGTTTTGCTATTGTGGTGGGAGCAGCCCGGGGGTGGTGCGGGAGGGGGTGGGCTCTTGGCACACGAACTGGTGCAGACAGGCCGTGGTCAGCGGTCAGCATGCAAGTCACATCCGCAGGCACTGCCACCAGGCCTGCCAGGCCTTGCACAGAATGGCGATGCTCCTGAGTCCCTGGGTCCCTTCGTCGAGTCCCCTCCGGCCCACATATGATTTGCTGCCTCTCCAACCAGCCCCTTGGTGGCATTCAGGTGGGGGGCATTTTTTCACGCCTTCTTAGCCAGTTGCTATTTTGGAGACATATTAGGTCACTGGCTAAGCCCTGGACGCAGGAAAGCCCAGGAGCACGGCGGGGGCTCCAAGAGGGTTTAGGAGGCGAAGCGGGTGAGGGGTGAGAGTGAGTGGGTCTAAAGCCAAGAAAGCCTTTGGGAAGTCGGCAGGCGCAGCCCTCCAGCCCCTCCAAGGAAGCCACTACTGGCCTGTGAGCATCCGAGGAGCCCCTCTTAGCTCCCCCAGTGCAGCCTGTCTGTGTGCGTATCTCTCAAATCCCAGGCCCATACATAACACCTTAAGGGGCAGCAGAGACTAAATTCGACGAATATGTGATCTGAGGCCCAGATGGAGACAGGGAAGGGGGTTCCCCCCAACTCAGGTCATAAGAGACTTTTCTACCATTGCTCTGCAGAGCTTTAACAGCTCCTTCCACAGTGGTTCCAGAGAGGGAACACACCTCTTCGCGGGGTAACTGGGGTCAGCAGTAGTGATGGGAGACAGGTTTCCCAGAGAACCAGCTGGGATCCTGGATTGTCAGACATCTCCAAGAGAGGGCACATCCGACTCCTGGAGAAGACTGTGAATGGCCCTAAACTCCCATGCCTCTCAGCAGGGTCCCACATTCGGGGAAGAAGGCCACCATAGGGTCAGAGCAGTGGGGGAGGCCAGTAGAGGCTGATGAGGGACCCCCCACTTGACCCGTGAGAGGGGAGGGCTCATACAGGTCACGGTCACCGTCTTGGGGATTCCCACAGCGCCCCGTGAAATCACCTCCCACTCACATCGTATCATCTTGTCTGTCTTCTGATCTGGGGCCCCCACTGGCCTGTCCCTGATTCCCTAAGCGGCCACAAGGAACTCAACAAATGTTCGGCACGATTACAATGTAAAAGACCCAGGCACTCGCAAACTGTCCTCCGAAGTCACTGGTCACTGAAGCCGGTTCCCTGAAGAGAGGCGGCAGGGTCTCGTGTAAGAAAGAAAGATTTCCAGCCAAGAATAATGCCTCCCGTGGAGAGAGTGCTTTACAGTTTACAAAGAGCTGTGGTATACAAATACTTTCGCCTGGCACCAAGGGGTGGCCCTGCAGGCTCACTGCCCTCCACTCTGCCCAACTGGCCCAGCACAGGTCAGCCAGTCCTCCTCTCAGTTGGCCGGGTACTGGCCCGCCTTGAGGCCTCAGGCCAGTGCTTTATATGCCCACGTTGCCCCTCGTCAGTACTGGCAGAGAGGAACACATTATGGGACCAGAGAGGGAGACCCTCTGCCTCCCCCTCTCGTCCCTAGCACACTCACAGGTACACAGGCCCTTCTCCCGGACCCATTCAGAACTCTGACTCTCCTCAAACTAACTGCTGGGCTCAGGTCAAGAAGAAAAAGGAGCCCTCGAGGGTGTCCTCTCCTCCACCCCATCCCCCTGCACTTTTGCAGGGAGAGCGGCCAGAAGATGGATGAGTGAAGGCCACAGAAGGGTATCTGTAATTCCCAAAAGAGGCAGGAGTGGAGGAGGAGGAGGAGGAGGAGGAGGAGGAGGAGGAGGAGGAGGAGTCGTCCAGCTGAAAGGGGAGAGGAGTGGTATCTAGGAAAGCTCTGGAGAAGACCTCTGCGAAGGGGCTGGGAGGTCCTGGCAATCTGTGTATTTATCTGGCTGGCGGAGATGCGCGCTGCCCCTTCCACTTTGTAACCAAATCCACCCAACAGGCAGACTTTGCAAAGCAGCCAGCCCAGGTTTCTGGAGAAGGCACTGGGCAGCTGAAAGCTCTCCCCCGGGCTAGCCCCCCTCCCAAGAGCTCAAGAGGATTTCCCTTTCATTTCCTTCCAGGCTGGGAGGGCGGGGGGGGGGGGGGGGGGGGCGGGGGGACAGCGCAGTCTGTGGGGTCAAGCCCTCAAAAACCACTTCCTATGTGGCTGGGGGAGGGCACGCAGCTGGAGGATGTATCTGGGGGTCCCTGTGCAGGAACAGCAGGAAAAGCCCTGCTCTCCAGGGTGCCCTTCGGGTCAGCCTCCCCCGAGGTCGCAGGAGAAAAGATTTTAGGCCCCTGCTGAGGAGCTCCGGAGCAGAGTCTGCACTCCCGGTCCCAGCGAGCCCTGGCCAAGGGGGGGATGGGGTTGGGCGTGGGAAGGACACTTGGAAGGGGCTCCCCGCCCCGGCCGCGCCCCAGCTGTCTGGAGAGAATCCGGAGCCCCCCACCCAGCGGGGCTCCCCCCACCAGCGGGGCTTCCAGCTGGGCGCCCCGGGCCGGGAGAAGGAGCAAGAGGGCCCCGCCTGCGCCCGAGCTGCTCGCCGCCGCGCTCAGCCGGGAGGTGACGCGCTCCCGGCGCCCCGGGGACATCGGGCGGCGAGTTTGGCAGAGCCGAGCAGGGCCAAGCCAAGCAGGGCCGGGCACCACGGAGCCGGGCCGGGCCGGGCCGGGCCGGGGACAGCGGGGCGGAGAGGGGGAGGCCCGGCGCGGTGGCCGGAGGGCGGGGGCGCGCGGGGGCACCCACCTCTCCGCGCTGCAGCTGGAAGAAGCTGTTGAGATAGCTCGAGTGCAGGGGCGAGCCCAGCTGCTCCGGGCGGCCCTTCCCGAAGGCCAGCTCTGGGGGCGCGGCGCCGGCGGGCGGCTCGGGCCGAAAGGCATCGAAGGCGCTCGCCTGGTGCGTGTCCTGCAGCGACAGGTAGACCCAGTTGAGCAGCTGCGCGGGCTGGTACACCGAAGCGGCGCTCGTGTCGATGGCCGACAGCAGGCTCATTTTGCGGCGGCGGTGCCGGCCCCTCCCCGGCCGCCCGCTCGCGCCCCCCCCCCCCGCAGCGGAGGGGCGGGCACCGGGGAGCTGCGCCCACTGCCCGCCGCCCGAGCCCCGCCGCTGATCGCCGGTGCCTGCGCCCCGCGCGCCGCCCGCAGCCGCCGCCGCCGCCGCCGCCTCCCCCGACTGCAGCCGGGGCGCGCGCGGGCGGAGGAAGGAGGCAGCGAAAGTTGGGCAGGAAACTTTTGGGCCCGCCCCCTCCGCCCGCCCGCCCGCCCCCGCCCCGCCCCGCCCCGCCCCGCCGGGATCCGCTATCTGCCTCAGTGCTGACCCCTCCGGCGGCCGCTCCCGGGGCGGGGTCCACGGAGGCCCCGCCCCCTTCGGCGCCGTCCTCGCCTCCCATTGGCTGCCTTATTGAATATGGAGCAGCGGGGCGGGGCGAGCGGAGAAGCGGGGCTCGTCGGCGCTCGCGGCGGCTCGCGGGCCCCGCCCCTCGCGGGCCCCGCCCCTCCCGGGCCCCGCCCCCCGGAGCCTGCGGGAGCCCCGGGCCGCCCCGGCCTCATCAATCCGCTCCCGCTCGGCTTGGCGCTCCTCTGGGTCTCCTTCCTGCGTCCTCTGCGATGATTTCATTCCCACTCGTTTTCCCGGCCCGATTTTCCTTCTTTTCTCAGTCTCTCTCCGCTCTCTTTCAGATTGGTGTCTCCCGGGTCCCTGCCTCCGTGTCCCTAAGTGTGTGTGTGTGTGTGTGTGTGTGTGTGCGCGCGCGCGCGTCGTCTTTCCTATTTCCGTCCAGTCCGATGTGTTGGTCTCGCCCCCCTCGCAGACACAGGCGCGCACGCACCCGCCTCCCCCGCCCTCCCGCCCTCCTCCCGCTATCGCCGTAGGACCCTCCCCCTCCCACTTAATTCCTTCCATCTGCGGAATCGCTTTGCGGGCCGGCTCCGCCAAGGGGGGCCCGGGTTCCTGCCCCAGGAAGGACTCCCCGCCTCCTTCCCTCGCCTGCCGCCCTCCCCCTCTCCCTTCTCCTGTTTCTGCTCTGGGCCGGCCTTTCCCTCCGCCCGGACCCCCGGCCCCAGCCCAGCCCGGCGCCTGGGCGGGCCGCCGGGACCTCGGGTGGGCCTGGGGGAGCTCGGGAAGACGACTGTCACCCACCTTCCAGAACGGCCCCGCCGCTCCAAGGATGCCTGGGGGGAGCCTCGGCCCAGCCCGGTCCTCCGCCTGACACACCCCGCAGCCCCGGGCCTTCGCCCCCTCGGGCTGGGGTAGTCACCGGGATCCTGCGCCTCGCCATCACCGGGACCTGGCGGCGGCCTGGCGCCTGGAGGGGACGAGTCACCTCTCCCGCCTCACCCCTGGTCTGGGCGTTCAAGTGCCAGGGTGGCCACCTTCCAGCTCAGTGACCTCCGCATGGGGCCTAACCTCTGCAAACCAGCCTCTCTTCTCCCCTGTAAAATGGGGACGGTCACCGTCCTACCTCTGGGGCTATTTAGGAGCTGACCACTTTGAGTTCGGCAAGCAGAAGACTTTCCAAAGGCAGCTCTCCACCACCCCCTGCACGAGGATTTCTCCCACTACCTGCACAGACAGCATATGTGGGTGCTTGGACCTGAAAGCCCTTCGGGGATGTGTCCCCCTTCCCAACCGTGTCCCCAACCAGAAATCCCATCGATGTTTCTGTCTCAGCTCATTCGATGATGTCACAGATTTTGTCTACCAAATAGTTTGGGATCATTAGTGCAAATGATAGCGCACACACCTGCCATATCTTAATGTAGGTTTATTCATCAGAGACCTATCTCTACAGTACCCCTTACACTTTAAATCAGTGTTCAATCTATTTGTTTAAATAGAAGGTACACATTTGTTCGAAATAAATATAATAACTATTTTACTCCTGGAAATATTTGGGGCCATCTCTGGAACTCTGCTACTGTCTTGAGGTTCCAAGATGGGAGGAGGGGGAATAGGATTTGAAACCTCCGATTTAGACTTTCCATGGACATTTAAAAGAAAACTGCGGTTGGGAGAGAAGACGCCTTCCCATGGCCCAAGCAGGCAGTTGGGGAGCCCAGAGGTGACCCCGGTCTCTGCCCTCCACTCTCCTTCTGGGTGAAGGTGGTCTGGTTATGTTGCAGTGCTAACATTTTTCCCCAGTGTGGGTTGCAAATTCACATCGCTTTAGGGGCTGGGCAGGTACCACCAGGTATAGGGGAATAAATAGAAAGTAGTGGAACCTGTGGAGAAGTGCTAGCTATTCAAAACCTTTCTATCATGGTTCTCAGCCTGAAACTCAGTCTGTCACCTGCCTAGGGAGACATCTGCTCCGTGGTCCCCTGTCCTTCAGCAATTTGATGCTGTGAGGGTTCTTCTTGTCATATCTGGCCACCGTGCTGGTGGCCTCTGCTCCTTTTACCCCCCTCCTCCACCCCTGCCCCATAGTTCCTACATAGGGCCTGCTGCACAAAAAGTAGACGATCCAAAAATGTTTGCTAGGTGGACGGCTGGGTGGAGGGTTGGGAGGGTGGCCAGGTTATGCTCCTCTTTGAAGCCCAAATGGGTCTTTTGGTTTTGCACTTTGCTTCCTCCTCTTGCCCACAGCAGACCTGCCCAACACGTGGGCTCTGTACCCAGTAAGTAATCAATAAATGGGAACAACTGACGGGAAGTTTGCCTGAGTAGTAGCTGGTTAGCCTGAGGTCAGCCCCTCAGCCGGTCCCGCACGAGTCCCTGAAACAGCACCTACTGGGGGATGGAAGGTGATGGGCGTGGATGGCCAGATGGGTGTCAGGGGCCTGTGCACCAGGCTCAAAAGACTCACTCAGGCCCAAACTCTGTGCCTCCCCTGTCCCCATCATGTACACATCAAGAAGCTTTGCATTTAAGTGTCAGCGCCTAGCCCAAGCCTTCACTTCTCAGAGGAGGAGACCCCCAGGGCCCAGAGGGGAGGGACTTGCCCAAGATCACCTGGAAACCTGATGGCTAAGCCACCTTCTCCTAATCCGCTCCAAACCTTCACTCTCCCCTCATTGGTCCTCATCTGGCAGTCTCCCAGTGTGGCAGCCCTGGTCCCAGAAACACAGGTAGGAGGGAACTCCAAGGTGAGGCTTAGGTCCCTGCCCCCTTCCCTTTCTGGTAACTGACCACCTCATGGTCTCCAGAATGGAACAATAGAGAGAAGATAGGATTTGGAGAAAAGAGACCTGGCCAAGTGGCCTTGGGCAAGTCTCGGCCCTCTCTGTAAACCTCCATATTCTCAATTACTGATTGATGTGGTCAAGTGAGGATGTGAACAGGACAGTGCTTTGCTAACTCTGCATAATCAGTCATTTGAAAGGGGAGCATGGTATTAATAATTTAAACAAGAGAAATACTCAACTTATCTGGAATGGCGGTTGGTAGGGGAGTATCTGTCCCTTAAAGTTCCCCCAGACAACAGTCTGATAAGATGTTTGGGGGAATTTCAAACCGAGAGCTCAGAGAAGCAAGACAAACCTTGGGAAGAAGGGCAAGCAGAGGTCTTCGTGGGGGAATCAGCTTCAGTTTGGGCTTGAGAGGTACCACACGGGAGCAGCGGTAGAAGAGGGGACTTCACGATCCTGTGCTAATTGATGCTGCTTATTTCTCTAAAGCACATTGCACGGTGACTTACAAGGCAAAAGAATCCCCTAACCCTCTTGAACCTGCCCACACTCCATGCCTCAGGAATAAACAGCAAAGCGTACCCGGGGAAGGCTGAGTGTTGTCTCTCCTCTGGGCCAGGGCTAGGCATTGGGTTCCTTTGGACTGTGTGTTGACACAGAAGGTGTCAGTTTACAGCAGTGATAGCAAAATGGCAAATAAGCTCCCTGCATGCGCCACTGCCCCATCCCCCACCACCACCCAGGACAGAAACCACTGAGTGCAGAACTCTTCCCCAGACATGACTTCAGATTCCTTCTCCATGGGACGCCCCGGTGGCTCAGCAGTTGAGCGCCACCTTCGGCCCAGGGAGTGATCCTGGAGTCCCAGGATCGAGTCCCACATCGGGCTCCCTACATGGAGCCTGCTTCTCCCTCTGCCTGTGTCCCTGCCTCTGTCTCTCTCTCATGAATAAATAAATAAAAACCTTAAAAAAAAAAAAGATTCCTTCTCCACACAGCCCTCTGTGTCACCACTAAGGGTGGCACTGACCTAGAAGGTAAAGACTGTTTGCTATCTCCTCTTTCTGTGGATATACAAGTTGGTGACTGCTAGCTCAGTTTCAGCCTTTCTGTGTAAGGCTCTGATGGTCAAACCAGGCCCCACCCACACACTCTTGACTCTTGGTAAGAGAACCACAAAAGGTGAGGGGAACCATGAACCTTAAACCCAGCCAGCCACTCCATGTAGGTTTTGAGTTGTGGAAAGTGCCTGGGCCTTTGGAGATGCTTTCCCAGCTGTGACTTTGGGGAAGTGATTATCCTCTGCTAGACAGTTTGCTCATGTGAATAATCCTCCCCCTGTTGCTTGAATGCCAGGACACAGGAAGGCGTTGGACACTCTGATGACCTCGGCCTCTAGAAGGCCCTTAGAGGGTCCTTGCTTGGTTTCAAGGCTGGACATTGTGCATGTACATGAGGGACACCAACCTGGGTGTCAGAAGCCTAGGGTTCTCTGCCCTACCCTTGTGCATGGCCCCAGGGCAAGTTGGCAGAAGGCCCTGGACCTGTGATTTCCAGAAGTCACAGCAGCATGCCTGGTAGGCTCCTGCTTCCTAAGGAATAGCGCTCAGAGGTGCTGGGGCAGAGACGGGCCCTTACTAACACAGAAGTCAGGAAGCCCTGACTTTCATCCTCTCCTTCCAACTTCACATCCACTTTGCTTTAAAAAAGACAGAAAGAAAAAAAAACACACCTAAGCCGTCTACATTTTATCAATAGCCCCTTAACAAACCTCAACCTGTGGAGACACCCCAGGCTCCCAGGGATGGAAAGAAGATGCCTGGTCCTTCAAGACCAGTAGTCAAAACGTGGTCATGTCCTCTTGTGGAGCACATGGGGGAGTGACTCTGGAATTTCCGTGTATTTAAGCTTAAGAAGCATCTGTTTGAAAAATGGGAATTAAAACACTCACCCTCAGTTGAATGCACAGAGCTCTCTACATTGCTTCGGGAAAAGTCTGGTCCAT